AAGGTCACAATGAACGATGTATGGAAGAGGAGAGCAGAATTGTTGGCAGCATTTTAAGTTCAGAAATAGTTTAAATATTTTTTTAAAGCAACTGGAATTTTAGAACTATCTAGGTCAGCCCTAAAATGAATAAGAACTCCAAATTTGGTGAAATTTATTCTCTTCACTGTTTTTTCTGCGACATGATCCTGATCCTGTCCTAGAATGATAACCATGGTTATGTAGCATTTCATAATTTGAAAACTTTCACATTAACTACAGTCCTGTAAAATAGATACCCCTGTTTTATAAAGGAAACATCCGAGACTTAGATAATCTTAGGGAGCCCTTGCTGAAGGTCACATTGGTAGTCGATTGAGGAAGCTGCACTTCCATCCAAATCTGACTTCATACAGTAGTGACTGGGGGGACCTGTTAATACTCAGTGCTCTGGGGACACTACAAGAAATGTAGATACATAGAAAATGTTTTTCCCTAATTATGGATACGAAACTAGAAAACAATCCAGTATTTTACGTTCAGAAGTAACTTGAATAGTAGCATGTCACAGGAAGTTACCGTGAGGGGAGAATAGGAAAAATTTCTGTGACAGTGTTTGGTCTTAATGTAGGTCTTGAAAAATAGGATTTAGATATTTGATATGTACTCAGTATTAGCTGTAAAGAAGTCTGTAATGGTGGTTCAGATTTCAAGCCAGCTCTAATCCACTTGCAGTGTTCACAAGGCACATCACACCTCATAATTCACTGATGTTGATGTACGGCAGTATAAAGGAGGCTCCTGCCCTTGGGAAGACAAGGCAAACATATACACATGTTAGACAAAGTGCAGAGAGGCAGTTTCAGCTGGGAGCCTAGAGTTAGGATGACAGGGACAGGGGAAGGGTTTCTAGGCAAAGTGAAAATTTATCCGGACTGTAACGTGTGGGTAAAATTTCAACTAATGGAGAGGCTTGGATATGACCAGTGGAACTGAGCCTTGGTGTATGAAGCTGGAACTGAAAAAAACTGACTTGAGGGTTTTAAGAGACTGAGGCGATGATCTAAACTGTAGGGTGATAGTGATGACACTGGCAAGTAAAGGGTAAATTAGTAAATTAAGGACAGAAATGTGGGCCTTGTTGAAGGAGGAGAATAGAGGGGGAGAAGTTCTGTCAACAGTCAAGAGAGTGAGAAGAATGAGACAAAACATTGGTTCCCAAATGTACTCATGCCTCGGTGCTGCCTGAGAACATTCAATAGTATGTTTATTTTAATGTGAGTCAAAACCAAAACTAGCACAACAAACCTGTGATTGCATGGATATTAGTTCTTAGAATGAAGATCTGTTAAGAAGTGAGTTGATTTAAATAAAAATATTAAATAGATAATAATATAGGTGACTCATGGTAGAGACATTATGAAGGATGGTATTCAGCTAATTTAAGTTTGGCAAATAGTGATTAAAAGTTGGGAGGGGTAGTATAAGGAAGCCTGGGGTTCTGAAAGGCCTGTATCTTGATCTAGGTGTTAGTTACACAGGTGGATAGACAAACACACACACACGCACACATACACACCTGCCCCAAAGTATATACTTACTAGTGCCATTGGCTAAACAAAGTTGGATAAGATGGAAAGAAGAGCAAAATTTATAGAGCAAAAAGATGCAGAGTTGGTTTTCTTGTCTGTAGTAGAAAAGACACTCAGGTGAATTCTTCATTTTATTTATATGCTCCTCATTCCAAAATTATTTATTTATTTATTTATTTTTGAGACAGAGTCTCACTGTGTTGCCTGGGCTAGAGTGCCGTGGCATCTTCCTAGCTCACAGCAACCTCAAACTCCTGGGCTCAAGCGATCCTACTGCCTCAGCCTCCCGACTAGCTGGGACTACAGGCATGCGCCACCATGCCTGGCTAATTTTTTCTATATATTTTTAGTTGTCCGATTAATTTCTTTCTAGTTTTAGTAGAGACGGGGTCTCGCTCTTGCTCAAGCTGGTCTCGAACTCCTGAGCTCAAACAATCCACCTGCCTCGGCCTCCCAAAGTGCTAGGATTACAGGTGTGAGCCACCGCGCCCGGCCCCAAAATTATTTTTAAAAGCACAGAGCTAAACCATTATATAAAAATATTTATATTCTTTTTCTTTACAAGGTTGCCTTTCTTTTTCTTTCTTTTTCTTTCTTTTTTTTTTATTTTAGAGACAGGGTCTTGCTCTGTTACTAAGGTGGAGTGCAGTGGTACAATCATAGCTAACTGTAACCTTGAACTCCTGGGTTCAAGATATCCTCCCGAGTAGCTAGGGCTACAGGTGCATGCCATGCCTAGCTAATTTTATTTATTTATTTTAGAGACAGGGTCTCACTATGTTGCCCAGGCTGGTCTTGAACTCCTGGCCTCAAGGAGTCCTCCTGCCTCAGTCTCCCAATGTGCCAGGATTACAGGCGTGAGCCACCACACCTGGCCTGAATGTTGCATTTCTTAAGAAAAATATATGTATATACTTGTGTGTGAAAGGGCTTTAACCATTCAAATGGTTAAAAATTTTTTTTTCCTTTTTTCTTTTGTATTTCATTCATCCATCAATTTTTTTTTAAAGTGTATCCTTTATCCTATACCTGTAGAAATAGAGGGAAAAAAATGTATCCTATATGTGTGATATGTGAATAGTCAGTAGGATGTCAAAGCAGTACATTGTTACATGGTCAAAAAGCAGTAGGGAAAGTTCATATGTGAAAGAAGTAATTGGGAAGGTTCAATGTAAATTTTGGGATTTGAGCTGTCACTTGTATTATGAACATGACTTACAGTGTTGATATGACTGTGACCACCTGGCTTAGGTATTACTTGTCAGGTTTCTCCACTGTGAAGTTTTTCCATCCCTTGCATACTGTACTTTTTGGAAGTCAGCCACCATGCATAGCCCACACTTAAGAAGTGGGAATCTGTTAAACTTTTCAAACATGAAATGCTTTAGGTGAACCTTTTTCAAATACCAAATTACAGCTGATTTGTTATCGAATGCTCCTATAAGAACTTGGAGGGCAGATATTTTGAGTTAGTTAAAGATAATTACTGAGGTATTCAGATAATGGATATGAATAATATTGTTCTCAAAGGATTGGATTGTAGTTACAGTACCCAAAGCATATGTTGGGAAAGCCAGTATTTTTATAAGAAAAAAGTTGGAAACTTTCCAAATATATGCTTACTCCTCTTTCCTTGTTCACTTTTACTGCTTTTCCACAATCCTTAACCCCGGGAACATTTCTGCATTCTGCTCTTAGGCCACTTCTCTTCCTTCGTGTGTATCTGTGATTCTCAACCACAGGAGGGAGGAGGGGAGATGCCATCCTTTTGGTGGACACATTGGAATCCAAGCGACGTGGTGTGGTATGATGGATAGTTTAGAAAGTCAGTTTCAGTATACATGTATTTCTACTGAAACATACCACAAAAAGTAAAGTTTGACAAAAACCTTCTTGGCTCATGGCAGATGTGCAGATGAAAAGAGTGGAGAAGGGAGGTTTAAAATGATTGAGAAACACTACTGTATATGTCTTTATATAAACCTAATTAGTTCACCATGCTTCTCATGGTTTTAGTTAGACTTTATTTGCTGACGGTAAAGCCTAAATCTTTATTTCTAGCTCAGATGCTGGAATCTTATCAAAATGCCACCTAGAAATCCCATGGATAACTCACACTGAACATACTTAAAACTGAACCCTTTATCCTTCTCCAAAGGAGTTTCTACCCCTCTCTTTGCTATCTCAGGTAACAGCACCTCCATCCACCTGCTCATCGAGCCTGAAAACTCATCATTGCTCACATCAGAACCATAACCAATTCCTGCTGATTTGTCTTAGTAAACATTGTTTTAGTCTTTTAAGGTACTATGTATATACAGTGCGGTTTGTAGAGTACATTGCCCTATTCCTACTACTGTTGGCTTGGTTCAGGCCCTAGTCCTTTCTTCCCTGGATAGTTGCAGTAAACTAGCTGAGTTTCTTTCTCAGATGCTTCCTCTTCTGTACTGTATCCAGGATGATCCTCTCAGAACTTCTGTGTGAGCATATTTTGAAAGAAAACGAATCTCTACTTTGCACTGTGCATTGTGGTAATCGTGAATTGCCATGGACATACCTATTTTACTGCTTGCTTCACTGAGTTAAGAGATTGCGTTAGGACTCTGGAACCGAGGGTGGGTACAATGGCAAGCTCTCTGAGTGATACTCCATTCTAGGAGCTGAGCTCTTGATGAAGAGGAATGGGCACAGCAGCCTGAGGTTGTCTTGACTTCCCTCTTCTGCTATGGAACCACCACCTCATGAGTTGGGGGCGAGGATTATCAGGGCCTCGGCATCCTCAGTGCTCCACACCCCAGGAAGAACTTCTCTTAGGGGCTGGGCAGAAGGGATCCCCCAAGGCTCATAATTGCTCTAGACTAGGACTTAGCTTCAGCACCAAATAGTTGGGGGCAGGATGAGAAATACTGCTGTTCTGCACTTTCTGGGAACAAAGCCCTCCAAATGGGAATTGCGGGAAAAATAATCCTGTGTTCTTGGCTGCAGCTGTCTGGAGTGGAAACTGCCTTGCTGAGTTGGGAGGGTAGAGGGAGGGAGAAGTCTTGGCTCAAATACCACAAACTCTTGCCATTCTTACTGAGTTCTCATAGATTTTCTTATAAATTTCAGTTTAGGTTTATGAAAATAAATAAAAGATTTTTCTTGTCCAAACTCAAAAATACCTGAAAATCTTATATTCTGAAGTATATTAATATGTTAGCCTTCTTTCTACAGGTGTGAAGCAACAGCTAAAGATCGTGTTTTTTTCATAATAGAGTTTACCTAGTTATATACTTCCAAAGCCTCTCTTCTGATCCTAAAACTCACATGGGAATAATCTTTGTTTATTTGGTGTTAACTGAGTATAATATCAGATTTTATGTAGAGCATTATTAGCTAGATAGCTCTTTCAGTGCCTAAATGCTAATGATAAGTGGTTTGATGTTACAGGAATACAAGCGCAAGTTAGCCAGAGTTTCCCTGGTGCGCAAAGAACTCAGGTCCCGGATCCAGAGCCTGCCAGACTTATCTCGATTGCCCAATGTCACTGGCAGCCACATGCACCTGCCCTTTGCGGGGGACATCTACAGTGAAGATTGATGACCAGTCTCTTTCCAAGTCCCAGGACTTTGCAAGAAATGGAGACAGGTTAGGTGGATAGTCCTGTAGCATTATTTTTGTATATTATTGGGAGAGTAAAACTTAACAAAAGAAACAAGTAATTTATAAAATTGTTTAAAATGTTGGTTTGTTTACTATTTTATTGATAAGTTAACATGACTTAGCTTAAACAAAGTGATGATCTCTGTGTAATAATAATAAGCTCACAAATAGTGATTATTTTCAAAAGATCTTTTTGTAAATTTTTTTGATCCAGGGCCTTGTGAGAAATTCCATGTTTCTGTTTCTTCATGTATTTTCAGTTGTTTTTCTTTATTTTCTTCGGTAACTAATCATTGTATACCATGTAATTCCTGTAGGGGAATAACTAATCAGGAGTTGGTTGAGACTTTATTATGGAATAGTTAGGACTTGATTGTAAAAGGGACTAAATGTTCCCACATAACTTTCACCCTTCTCCCCAAACAAAATATCGATTCTGTGCCTCTCCATGCCTTTGATTCCTTATTCCCTAAAGGTCAGTGATTTAATTTAACACTAAACATGGATGTGAGTTTGAGGGTCAGATCAAAGCCTAGAGAATTTTCCTCCAATAGGAGTGTAGGGGTTCCATTCCAACTGCCAGTGTAGAATAAAAAGAATGTTACATTCATTAAACTGTTCAGAATTTTTTGAGTAGATTAATATGGAAACGCTTGGGAAATGTTATAAATTTTGACATTCTACCAAGAGGATAACTTTGGTTCTGGAACTGATTTCTATTTCTCAAGTCAGTCTCCTTTTAACATAGTTGATCCCTTTAACAAAGTCATCTATGGGATGAAAAGACACATGAAATAATGATACTTTTAGTATTTCCTTAGCTATATAACTTTAAAAACAATAGTAATTTTATCTCTGGTAGCTGAAGAACACAATATTCATTAAATGTTCAGTAAAGTAGCTTGGAACATTTTAAATGTTTCCTTAAGGTTTTTGAATGACTCCATATTTGGCAATTAAGCAGTGCTATGCTACAGGGTAGATCTGGTAAATTTTATATTTGTATATTTACAGTTACCAAAACAAATGTACTTTTACCTTTTATTTCTAACCCTGTGTGTTAGAGCAGTTGCATGCTCTCTTGCTTTCTTTTTAAATCACATCGTTAAGCTGTGGATTTGCATTCACCAATGACTTAAGATAAACATTTTTTTCATTCATTGCTTTACATATTAGACATTTTTCTTGTTGTAAGCAGATTCAAATTAGATAGTCAATAAAACATCTTTTAAGTCCCACAAGCCAGTTATGTCTCACTATTCTGAATGGCTTCACTCTGTTTCTTTCTCAACATTAGGGATTATAGTTAAAATGAATTAAATGTGAAGGCAAATATTTATTTTTAATAGCCAATAGTTCTGGAAACAGTGCTTTTAATAGTTTAACCTCTCTCCGAAACAGAGACACATATAAAGTAGTCCCCGTCCATATATGGCTTATATTCCAAAGTTTTTTAGTCAACTTTTGGGATTTGGGGTGCGTTTTCTAAGAGAAACAATAGTTAGTTCGGTTCTCTAACACTACCACTGAAAGCTCACCTGGGAACCTAATCCACTTAACCATCAATGTACTTAACTTGCAGTGTGGTTGACAGATTACTAATAGATCCTAACTAGCATTTGTAACAACACTCTAACAAGGAAGTGGTGTGTAGCAGTCAGACTCACACGTGGGGTGTCTGCCTGTGCCGTGTACCTGTCCCTAGGTGTAGGAAATGGAAGAAAAAGATTGAGCAAAGGAGGGAGAGGTAACAAATGCACAATTGTAAAACCTGGTTATATGTGTTAGGAAAGTATACCAAGTAAGTTAGTTTTTATTCTTGTTAATGTGAAAGCAGAAACTTGTGTGTTAACTTATTTTCAATATCTTGACTTTATTTATGATCTGCTAAAGTGGTGATTTATCCATTCAAAATATATATTTTTTCCCATTTAAAACTAATTTATAAACTATGTACTCCTGGGAAGATTTGAAATCTTTTAGAAGTTTGTTGAAATATTTTCATCATTTAGGACAGACTTCTGACTTAGATACTGATTTTAATGCCAGTATCTTCTCTAAATATTTATGATAAAAATGCATTATTTTTTTAAAGAGCTTGATGAGATTTGTGATAAGTGATAGTACTCAAGAACCTGAATCCCACCCCTTGACCGATCCTCCACAAACCTCAGTTGTTGGTTAACTCATTAACTGAACACAGACAGTATGGTCTGGTTTAGAAGTTATGTCTTCAGCCTTATGATAGTGAATATGGTAAGCCTTAGCAGTAAACAGTCTTCCTTCTAGAAAGGAGGACTACATTTTCTCGAGAATGGGCTTAGATGGGGGTACTACAATACCAAATTCTAAATCATGAGCATTTTCTCCATTGTGTACCTGAGGCAAATCATGCATCCTTGAGTGCAGTCTGGGCTGGCCCCTCAAGAGCAAAGCATGTCAGCACACTTGCAGTAGGGGTACTGTGGTTTGAATGGATACCATCACTCTTTTCTCCACAAACAGCGCAGAGAGCTGTCTGGAGTGGCAGTTTGAACAGATTCCCTGGTGCTCCCTCTGCTCCTTCCATCATTACAGTAAGTAAAAGGACCATGGGGGGGAACCCGGAGGCTGAGAAATTCAGCTGTGTTCAATAGCCGACCTCCCCCTTGAGGAAAACCATTCCAGTCGCAGCTATTCTGGTACCTCTTCTCACATGCAGTCTGAATTAGGGCTTTTCTATAAGAAATCCTTCAGAATCAGAAACGGCTGGGATGACCCAGTCATCTTGATTTGCAGAATTAAAAGAACAAAACTAAGTTGTCAGTCGTCACTGCTGATGAGCAACTCATCTTTTAAAATATATTTATTGAACTGGTTCTGAGAAATCTTTAGAGAGCAAAAACTCACAAGTACAAATTAGCTAACTGGGAAAGTTAGAATGTGCTTTCTGAATTTTCCACTCTAAAAATTTACATTATGTGAAATAACATAAGGCTACTAAACTGCTTTGTATTCTATTAAGAAATAGCTCCTAAAGATGTAGTCTTGTTTCATAGTTGTTGCACTATATCAAAGCTTAAAGTGTAAACCCAGTTCTTCTCTGTATAGAAAGGGAACATTGTGTTACTTAATGAATTTATTTATACAGAGCATTTGTTGCCAAATGTAATTCCAGCCATCCACACACAAGTCTGTTCTGAGGTGGCAATAGCACATGGGAAGATGAACTTTCCCTATTTGTTTACCCTTTTTTCTTTGGCTGTATCTGATGATAGTATACGAGTTCTTAATAAAGTTTTATGTTCTTTTTGAATGTGTAGGTTATTTTTGTGAATCTCATTTGTTGGATATGGGGTGGAGAGGGGAAAGATTAATGGACTGGGAGGGAAGCAAAGTACTGGAAGTATTCAGTGACATATGGTAAAGAAACTGCTGAAGATTAGCCAGTAGTTCCCAAACTTGATCGAGCATCAGAATTACCTAGAGGGCTTATTAAACTACAGATGGCTAGGCCCTACTCCCAGAGCTTCTGGAATTTGTAGGTCTGGGATAAGGCCTGATGGTTTACATTTCCAACAACTTAATGCTGATACTAGTGTGTTTAAGGACTACATTCTGACAGCCACTGCTGTAGGCCAACTTTGAAGTCCATGATTTGCTTCACGATTTAAAATATTTAAGCAATTCCAGGTAAGAATGTAATAAAGTATGGGTTTTACAGTTCATTACATAGAAAGTTCCTTATGGGCAAAGAACAAGACCACATCTTCTTTTGTGATCTACTGCTTAGTGTAGTGCTTATGAAGTGCTTTCAAGTGAACAGATTCAGTTGGTACCTTTAAGTTCGTAGAGCCCAGGGCCTTTTGCCTTGAATTTAAAACCAAATTGGGGAATACTAGAAATCTGTGGGAATCCCTAGGGCAGTGTTTGCCAAACTTCTCTGATAGACTCAGACTCAGTTCGGGCATTTGCAAAAAGAACACATACCTACTAGGTCAGAATTTTCTGTGATTCTGTCTACAGGGTCTTTATATTGCTCAGGCTGGTCTCAAACTGCTGTCCTCAAATGATTCTCCAGCCTTAGCCTCCTGAGTAGCTGGGATTAGAGGCACGAGCCACTGCACCTGGCTGGTGTGTGTGTGTGTGTGTATATATATATCTTTATCCACTCGTCAGTTGATAGGCACTTAGGTTGATTCCATATCTTTGCAATTGTGAAT